CATCCTTAGGAAGGGAACGCCGTTCTCTGATTCTCTTTGCTTGATGTGCGTGTCTGTGTAGCAGTGGGTGTTGTGGCGCAGTGGGTTAAGCTGCAGCTTGGGACACCCACATCCCATATCAGAGTGCCTGGAATCGAATCCTGCCTCCACCCTGATACAGCTTCCTGCTAACATGCCTGGGAGGCAGCAGGCGATGGCCCAAGTGCTTAAGTCCCTGCCACCCATATAAGAGACCTGGCTGGAGTTCTTGGCTTCTGGCTTTGGCCTGGCCCAACCCGGGCACTTGGGAGTGAACCAGTGGGCAGAAGATTTCTCTCTGCTTCTTCTTTTGTCCTTTAACTCTGCCTTTAAAATAAATACAGATTTATAATAAACATTAAGAAATGTTTATCTCCGGCACTCTGGCCTCAGAATCAGCCTTTAAGGCATTTGGATCTGGCTAAAAAGCCCATGAGTTTCTCAGGCATGGAAAACCAAGACTGTGTGGCAAAAATGACCTAAATGAAACATCTCTTTTTTTTTGTTTCCAGTGGAAAGAAGAGAACGTCAAAGATGCATGTACATTTTTTTGAAGGGAGGAGAGAACAAGATCTATTTATATGAAAGGCAGTGTTATAGATAAATGGGGGGGGGAGAGAGAGGGCCAGAGAGAGACAGAGACACAGAGAGAGAGGGCTTCCATCTGCTGGTTCACTCCCCAGATGGCTGCAACAGCCAGAGCTGCACAGATCCGAAGCCAGGAGCCAGGAGCTTCCTCTGGGTCTCCCACATGGGTTCAGGGGCCCAAGAACTTGGACCATCTTCTACTGCTTTCCTAGGACACACCAGAGAGCTGGATCGGAAATGGAGCAGCCGGGACACGAACTGGCATCCATATGGGATGCCGGCAATGAGGCAGCAGCTTTACTCGCTACACCACACGGCCGCCCCCTGCCTTTGCCAATTTTAAAAGTGGGTTATTCACTTTTTTTATTCTTCACTTGTTTATTTTTTTTAAGATTTATTTATTTATTTGAAAGAGTTACACAGAGAGGAGAGGCAGAGACAGAGAGAGGTCTTCCATCTGCTGATTCACTCCCTAATTGGCAGCAACGGCCAGAGCTATGCCGATCCGAAGCCAGTATCCAGGAGCTTCTTCTGGGTCTCCTACGCGGGTGCAGGGGCCCAAGGACTTGGGCCATCTTCTACTGCTTTCCCAGGCTATAGCAGAAAGCTGGATCAGAAGCAGAGTAGCTGGGATTCGAATGGTGGCCCAAATGGGATACCAGGACTGCCAGCAGCGGTCCCAATGCCTTATTTTTTGATTTAATAAACAACATATGTTTGAAAAATCCAGTCCAGTCTTTAGCACATTGGCTTATTTGGAACCTAGTGGAGTTCTTAACCAATTGGAGAAAAATTCTGGGTAACTGTATAGGTTCAGACTTAGGATGAATGTCTCTGCTAAGGCATTCAGATCCTGTCTCAAAATTCACCTTGCTTCACTTCTCTCCTTGTTATGCTTATATTGAGTTAAAGCACCATTTACAGTACATTTAAGCTTTGTAGGCAATTTAGCTACAAATAAAAAATGTCAGGGGTTCATAGCTCAGCTGTTAAAATTTATAAGCCACAAATACATTAGAAATCTATTCATTTCAAAAAGCTCTCCAGAACAAAGTGTTGACCCAGTCTTCGCATTGTTATTTATCAAAACACATTTAATGTATGAATATCATATCATTACCTGAAGGTGACTAAGGAATATTTGCAATGAGTAAGGCAAAAGATAAAACAAAAATACTCTTTTGATAGGAAGAAGCTAGTTTTCCAGATTAAAAAATAATTGTAACACAATGTCCTATGGCAAACAAATAAGGAAAGACCCAAGAGTCACTTATTACAATATCTAAAGCTGGATATTAGAAAGGTTAACTCCAGATTTCCTTTCTTTGTGTTAATTTAACTCTGATACATGAGTTAAGGCATAAAGCAGGAAGAGTGCAACTGATTCCAAACAACTTGGAACTTTATTGTAAACTTCCCATAAAGAATGGTAACAAATTAGTCCAGTTTTTGTCTTTGAAGATAATTGCTTAGAATGACTGACAACTGTAAAATAAAACATGTTTTATAAGCCAAACCAGTTTACCTAAATATGTGCCCATATACAATATTACGTCAACTATTAACTGAATACTTTTCCATCTTAAAATTTATGGATCCTAAGAACAAACAAAACATACAGTTTTGTTAATACTCTGTAGAGGATTACAAAAGACAAGGATGATAAGTTACAGACAAAGAAATAAATTACTGATTGCCATCCCTAACAGTATTGTTTAAAGAATTAGCATTTATAGTATTGCCTAATTTGTATCTGGTGACATATGTAAAAACACACTTCTCAACTGGGTTTCTAAATATTTTTGTATGTAATTTTAAAAGTCAATTACCAATGGCAATTTCAAAATGCATTTTTTTTATAAAATATTTATGGTTTTATGTGTCAGAGTCTCACATTCTAGATTTAATTAAGATAGGTGTAAGGATAACAAATAGGCATACATATATATTAAAAAAAACGCACCTTAACTCTAAACTGCCAGGCCTTTCAACCGTACATAAATCTCCAGTCTTGTTGAAGTGTACTGAGTTAGGAGTTAGGTGCTGTCTTCACTGCAGAGACAGAGGTGAGGATAAAAGTAAGCAGGGCAAGATGAAAAGGGAAATAATCAAGGATAAGGCTATGCAAGAAATAAACACCAAGAAACCTGAGTGTTGTTCAACAAAATACAGCAGCAAGAAAAAAATTAACTTTATATTGGGATTTAATCAAAACACAAGCAGAATTAAGAATCTAGCTGTGGTTTCTGCTGTAGCCGGATACGAATTCTGTTAGTGGCAGTGTCTAGTGGAGTCGCAGAGCTTGTACTTCGTCTTAGACAAGGTAGCAGAACCTTGGCTTTCCGAGTATTCTGTCATCCGCCCTTTCCCACTCCCAAATGTACACTGTCTCAAAGGAGTAACACATACACCCTCCCGGGAACTAAAGGCACAGCTATCAGTCCAGGCAGTCAGGCTGCAGAGGAGGCAAACCCGACCCGACCAGAGAGAAGGTACAGGGGCACTGCTGGGACATCTTCAGCTCTAAGAATCTGCAGCTCTGAGCGTGCCTAGATCCTGGAGAACACACGCACGAAGCACAAGCCTGCAGGACAACCGGAGGATTCGGTCAGAGTTGAAAGGGAGCTTTGGGTCACCGGCGGCGGTTGCTGTGTTCAAAAGCACAAGCCCCCCACCAGATTTCCAACTGTGCTGCAAGGCACGGCCTCAGCGATCTCGTTCGCCTCCGCACAGTTCCCCAGCTGCACCACCCGGGATTGGCAGCGGCCGAGCGGAGCGCATGCGTACTGGCTGCTTTCCGCCGAAGCCCGTTTCCGGGGGAGGTGCCACTTCTTCCGCTGTCCGTGGCGGCTCCCGTGGCCCTGGGTGTGAACTGAGATTTGAAAGCTGCGGTGTGGGATCTTGTGGCTCCGGTCTCTCCGGCTTGGGCGGAGGCTTAGTTGTTGCGGAGCTGGCCCCAGGACGCCTTCCATGGAGGGGCAGCGGGTGGAGGTGGACGGCGGGATCATGGAAGGGGTGAGTGCCGCAGGCGGGGCTGCAGGGATGCCGGCCAGGCGGCGGGGGAGGAGAGCTGTCGCGTCTGAGTTTCTCAGCCTCTTCTCCCCGGTCCCACCCGTTTCAGGGCGGCCAGATCCTCAGGGTCTCCACGGCCCTCAGCTGTCTCCTGGGCCTCCCCCTGCGCGTGCAGAAGATCCGCGCGGGCCGCAGCACGCCGGGCCTGAGGTAAATCGGGGCACCTTGTGGAGCCGGGGTTAGGGCACGAGGGGAGTGGGGGGTTGGGGAATCGGAGCGGTGGGGCTTGTGAGGGGTCGGGGAGCAGCCTTTAGGCCTCCCTTCCTCACGCCGGGGCGCTGTACTTGGACAGTGGCCCGGTTGTGCGTTGTGTGCACCTGCTAGAAGAGGGCCCAAGTTGAAGCCGGACTGATGAGTTGATGTGAATTCTGTATGTATTCCGTTTTAGCGGATCAGCGATCTCTGTCTTTAGCCCCGGTTTTCTGAAGTGATGAAAAGGCAGTTAGATTGATAGATGTGAACAAGTCCTTTTGTCACAGCAGTTGTTAGCCATTGTACGGTTCACCAGTGTGGAGATCTAAAGGCTATGTAGATACTGTGTTAGATTGACAAGGCTGACAAGATACCGCAGACTGGGTTGCTTCAAGGACGGAAATTTATAGTGTCACAGTTCTGGAGGCTGGCGGTCCGAGATCAAGGTGCTGGCATGGTTAGTTTCCGCAGAGGGTGCGGAAAGAAAAGATCTGTCCAGGCCTTTCTCCTTGGCTTGCCTGATGACCTGTCTCCCGCTGCCTCTTCACATGGTAGCACCCCTGTGCGCTGTGCCCCTGGGGGTGCTCATGGAACATGGACTATGAGTTTATCTTGGCGCAGAAAAATTTTGAAATTCATGCGTAGTTCCTCTGTAATGCACAATTCCATGAACTTTTTAAATACCCTTAATGTGCATTGATTTCAGTTTTTTTGGCAACAAAATTAATTCCGTTTCTGTGAAGTTTCAAAAGTACTAATTTTGAAGTACTGGGAGTTAGGGCTTCAACATCTGAATTTTGGGGGAATTCAGTTTGGGCCATAGCGGGTGCCATAGATTATGAGACTGGCTTTCAAGTAGTTTTAGTAGTTTTTCTCCTTTGTACACTCCCAGTTTGTAACAGTACATCAGTGTATGTGTTTACAGCCAAAATAGCTTGTCTCAAAGGAACCCTTAAAATGATGCCTACTAGGAAGTAGTCTAGGTGTGTTAAAAACTTGAAGCTCTGAACTAAGGATATAGCACTTAACTGTGGTTAGAATGGTTAGAATTATCCTTTGCTTGCCGTTACAGTTTTATAAATGTGTCATAACATATGGGGATATAGGCAGTCTGAATGCACACGTTTTGATGCAGTATTATGACCTGAAGGCCTCAACATTTATCTGGACTGGAAATGATTCGAGATTTGTGTGATGGGCAGCTGGAGGGGGCAGAAATTGGCTCAACAGAAATAACCTTTATACCAGAGAAGATCAAAGGTGGAATCCACACTGCAGATACCAAGACAGCAGGGTATGTATCACTTTTATTGCATTAAAGTATGGATTTGGAGTTAGACCCAGTGTTTAACCTCTTTGAACTTTAGTTTCCACACTTCTAAAATGCAGATGAAACACTTGCCTTTCAGGGTTGGAGACAATGTGTGTAAAATTTTGGGACTTAATTGCTCAGTTGTAGATATTACTGTACCTGGAATTTTCTTCTATGTGTAGTATGATATAACATAGTTGTTTCTTTACTTTTTATCATTTAGAAATTAAATGCCTCAAATTGATTTGAGTTCTCATGTTCTTTAGTCTTTGCATTATAGGAAATTTAGTTCTTGGCTTATAGTGAACCATATTCTATAACTTCTAGAGTAAGCAGTTGTATTACCTTTTAATAGATACCTATACAGCCTTAGCTAGAATTAAATATAATCCTGATTGTTTTTCTCCATTGGGAATTTTTTTTTTCCCTGAAAGACAGAGAAACCTTCCTTTTGCTGGTTCATTCTCCAAACACCTGCAGCACCCAAGGCGCAGCCAGGCCAAAGCCAAGAGCTGGAAAGTTAATCTGGGTGGCAGGGACCCAGGTACTTCAGGCATCACCTGCTGCTTCCCAAGGTGCACATTATTGGGAAGAATTGGAAGTGGAGCCTGGATGTGGATGTCCTAGGTAGCATCTTAACCACTGTGCCAGATACATGCCCCAGGAATTGGATGTCTAGCAATTAAATTGGGCCTTTATCATTTCCTGAGCATCCCTCCTTTCACTGACAAAGCATGGAAAATGATTTTTATATCACTTTTTTTCTGTTTTTTTTTTTTCCCCCAAGATTTATTTTGTTTATTTGAAAGGCAGAGTGACAGAGAAAGAGGGAAAAATCAGAGAGAGAGAGAGAGAGAAAGATCTTCCATCCACAGGCCACACCAACCAGAGCTGAGCCAGGCTGAAACGAGGATACTAGAACTCCATCTTGGTCTCCCACATGGGTTGCAGGGGCCCAAGGACCTGGACCTTCTTCTGCAGCTTTCCCAGGTGCATTAGCAGGAAGCTGGATCTGAAGAGGAACAGTCGGGACTCAAACTGGCTCTCTAATATGGGATGCTGCTGTCATAGTGGCAGCTTAACCCTCTTTGCCGAAGTGCCAGCCCAGATTACTATTTTAAGTAGCATCCTTTTGCTAAAGCTCTATCCATTTACTAGGGAGTTTGATAAAATTCAAAATGTTCTAGAAGCTGAAAACAGTTGATCTCAAAGAAATAGAGGATGTAATAATAACTTCTAATGTTTTGTGCCACAGTAGGGTAACTATGGTTGACAACAATTAATTAAATATTTCAAAATAACAGGTAAAGAGGATTTTTAATGTTCCCAGCTCAGAGAAATGCTATGTGTCTAAGGTGATAAATATACCAGTTACTGTGATCTGATTGTTACACATTATATACGTGAAATGTCACACTGTACCCTATCAATATGTATAGTTGCTATGTGTAAATTTATTAAAAGTACCATAAATCTGATACACATTTGTGTCAGAAATGAGTATTTTAGGAGCCGGCGCTGTGGCGCAGCGGGTTAACGCCCTGACCTGAAGCACCAGCATCCCATATGGGCTCTGGTTCTAGTCCCGGCTGCTCCACTTCCAATCCAGCTCCCTGCTAATGTGCCCAGAAAAACAGCAAAGGATGGCCCAAGTGCTTGAGCCTCTGTACTTACATGGGAGACCTAGATGAAGCTCCTGGCTCCTGGCTTCAGGCAGGCCCAGACATTGCCATCATGGCCATCTGGGGATTGAACCAGTGGAAAGAAGATGAATCTCTGTCTCTTCTTCTCTTTCTCTGTGATACTGCCTTTCAAATAAATAAAATAAAAATCTGTTAAAAAAAAACAAACATGAAAAATCCAGCTCCATTCAGGAAGTTAAACTAACAGCAGAAATGTTGTTTTTAAGATTTATTTATTGGGGCCGGTGCTGTGGTGCAGCAGGTGAATGCCCTGGCCTAAAGCACTGGCATCCCATAAGGGTGCTGGTTCGAGACCTGGCTGCTCTACTTCTGATCCAGCTCTCTGCTGCGGCCTGGGAAAGCAGTAGAAGATGGCCCAAGTCCTTGGACCTTGCATCCACATGGGAGACCCAGAAGAAGCTCCTGGCTCCTGACTTCAGATCGGTGCGGTTCTGGCCGTTGCGGCCATCTGGGGAGTGAATCAGATGGAAGACCTCTCTCTCTCTCTCTCTCTCTCTCTCTCTCTGCTTCTCCTCTCTCTGTGTAACTCTGCCTTTCAAATAAATAAATAAATCTTTTTATAAAAGAGAGGAGAGACAGAGATCTTCTGTCCACTGATTCACTCCCCAAATGGTGGTAACAACTGGTGCTGGGCCAAGCTGAAGCCAGGAGCCAGGCGCTTCCAAGTCTCCCACATGGGAGGCAGGGGCCCAAGCACTTGGGTCATCTGCTGCTGCTTTTCCAGGCGCATTAGCAGGGAGCTGGACTGAAAGTGGAGCAGCCAGAACTGGAACCCATATGGGACAGCTTAACCCACTACACCACAGTGCTAGCCCCCATAGCAGCAGAACATACCAAGAAAATCTATCTTAACTTTTTCTCACACCTATTATGTGTTTTCTGGAGTGTCTACTTTTGTTTTTGCAATTTCTCACTCTTCAAAATTAAGGTTTTCTTTATAATTTTTAAAATCCGTTTTTATTGGGGAGAAAATAAGCACTTTCTGTATTGGGATATTCAGCGGGAATAAAAAATGGACTAAATAGTTACAAAGTTAGGGTAAGCTGAACATTTTTAAGTTTTTTTTATTTGTTAGTAGGTCAGCTCCTTCAGAATAGAAGTTACATACATTTTTCTCTTCTAATGCCAAATGCAGTTAAGTTTTTTTTAAGTAATAAAATTCATTATTATTGATAGGAACTTTTCAGTTTAGTACTGATGCATCTTTGTCATACGAAAGTTAAGGCAGGCATTTGAAATAATGGTTAAGATGCCACTCGGATGCCTACTTCCTATGTTGGAGGGCCTGGGTGCTAGTCCTGGCACAGCTTTCAATTCGAGCTTTTTGCTGATGGGCATCCTGGGAGGCAGCAGGTGATTGCTCTAGTAGTTGGGTCCCCGGCACCCAGGTAGGAGACCCAGATTGAGTTCCTGACTCCTGGCTTTGTCTTGGCCAGCCCTGGCTGCTGGAAGCATTTGGGGTATGAACCAATAGACGGAAGATCGCACTCTGTCCATCTGTTCTGCCTTTCAAATAAAATAAACAAATAAAAATAAATCAATGACTATTCCAAGTTTAAAAAAAAAGTTACGTGGTTCACTTGGTTAATCCTCCACCTGTGGTGCCGGCACATAAAGGCACTGGGTTCTAATCCCGGTTGCTCCTCTTCTAGTCCAGCTCTCTGCTGTGGCCCAGGAAGGCAGTGGAGGATGGCCCAAGTGCTTGGGCCCCTGCACCCGCATGGGAGACTGGGAGGAAGCACATGGCTCCTGGCCATCTGGGGAGTGAACCAACAGAAGGAAGACCTTTCTCTCTGTCTTTATCTATAACTCTGCCTGTCAAATAAAAAAAAAAGAGTTATGTAAAGGTCTGTCTTTTGATATATAAAACCATATTGATTTTCCTTTCAAACTATAATCTGCTTATGAATATGATTGCTTTCCCTTGACTTTGTAGAGGGCGATAATAGCTCATAAAATATTTAATGTGCTTTAACTATTTCTCACGATTTCTTGCATTGTTTGATTATAAGGACCACATAGAGGCATGTAAAGCAAAGATTATTTCCCTAAAACTTTTCCATGTGAAATTTTCAGTTATCAGTCTTTGTAAAATATTATTCTATCATATCATGAACTCAGTGATATTAAGGAACTGTATTTTAACCTGATATCTGGAATAATACCTTGTAATGACTCATATAATCAATTGAATGTTTCTAGATCTTGACTGTTGAAAATGTCATTTTCATAAATTGCTATTTTCAAGAATCCTTTGACATTTGAACAAGGTTTTTCTTTGGTTTTATTTTTTTACTTCTTTGTAACATAAGGAAAGTGTCAGAACTTACGCAAGATCACATAGCTGATGTGTTTTGTATTGAATTTAAACCAGGATTTGCTTATCACTTAATGCCTGTTCTTCTGTGAAATATTTTCTTTTGAGTTTTACCATTCATACGCTGAAGTGTTTTTAACTTCTCAGTTTATTGTGCTTCAGCTAATAGTGATGTGTAATGTTACCACTTTCTTGGGACTTTAAATAAAGATAGGTGCAGTTCAGCCTGTTCTGCCTTCTCCTTAGGAGCGTGTGCCTGTTGATGCAGGTCTCAATGCCTTGTGTTCTCTTTGCTGCTTCTCCATCTGAACTTCGCTTGAAAGGTGGAACTAATGCTGAAATGGCCCCACAGATTGATTACACAGTGATGGTAAGAGCTTTTATTGTTGTTGACACACTAAGTCACTCTTATATATTCTCCTGAATTCCCATTTTCACTTTAAATATATCCTGAATGTTTTTGTGTTAGTTCCTGTTTATTTCTGCATGAGGAAGAGGTGGGGTAATGTTTATTGTAGGTTTTGTGTTAGAATAGCATTCATAGTAAATTCTTTAAAAAGCCCAGTTGTAAGGGCCAGCATTGTGGTGCAGTGGTTTAAGCCACCAGCTTGTGATGCCCACAGTACATATCAGAGTATTGATTGGGATCCTGGCTGCTCTACTTCCAATTGAGCTTCCTGCTAATACACTTGAGAAGGCAGCAGAAGATGGCCCCTGCCATGTACATTGGAGACCAGAAAAGGTTCCTGGCTTCTGGCTTTCGTCCGTCTCAGACCTGGCTGCTGTGATCGTTTGGGGAGTGAACTAGCAGGTGGAAGGTGGGCTTGAACTAGCACTCTGATACACGATGCCAGCGTTTCCAGCAGCAGTTTAAGCCACTGTAGCAAAATGCTGACTCAGTTATTTTCTAAATGCAGGAATTATGATTTAGAGGAAAAACTAAAAAATTTTTTTTTAATTTTTAAAAATTTATTTATTTAGAGAGACAAAGAGAAAGGCAAAGAGAGTCAGAGACCATCCATCCATTGACTTAATCTCTAAGTGCCCCTCACAGCCAGGGTTGGGCCAGGACAAAGCCAGCAGCCCAGAACTCAATCTGGGTCTTCCATATGGGTGTTAGGGACCCAACTACTTGAACCATCACCTGCCTTCTAGAGTGCCAGTCAGCAGGAAACTGGAATCCAAGTGAAGCTGGAACTGGAACCCAGGCATACTGACAGGAAATCTGTGTGTTCAAAGTGGTGTTTTAACTGCTGTGCAAAATGCTCACCTCCTCAAAGATCTTTTTTTTTTTTTTTTTTTTTTTAAGATTTATTCATTTATTTGAAAGGCAGAGAAGAGCGAGAGAGATCATGATCTAGATCCTCCATCCACTTGTTCACTCCCCAAATGGCCGCAATGGCCGGAGCTGAGTAGATCCGAAGCCAGGAGCCAGGAGCTTCCTCTTGGTCTCCCATGTAGGTGTGGGGGCCCAAAGACCTGGACCATCTTCCACTGCTTTTCCCATAGTAGAGAGCTGGATTGGAAGTGGAACAGCTGGGACTCAAACTGGCACCCATGTGGGATGCTGGCACTTCAGGCGGTGGCTTTACCCACTATGCCACAGTGTTGACCCCTCTCAAATCTTTAAAATGATAAAATTCAACAGTGCTGTGCTTGTAGAACTAATGGGAGGGGCTGGCACTGTTGCATAGTGGGTAAAGCTGCCTCCTGCAGTGCTGACATCCCATATGGGTACTGGTTCATGTCCCGGCTGCTCCACTTCTGATCCAGCGCTCTGCTATGGCCTGGGAAAGCAGTGGAAAATGGCCCAAGTCCTTGAGCCCCTGTACTGGTGTAGGAGACCCTCAAGAAGCTCCAGGCTCCTGGCTTTGGATCAATACACGATCAGCTGTCGCAGCTCCGGCCATTGTGGCCAGTTGGGGATTGAACCAGAGGATGGAAGACCTCTCTCTCTCTCTGCCTCCCTTTCTATCTCTGTGTAACTCTGACTTTCAAATAAATAAATAAATCTTTAAAAAGAACTAGTGGGAGAGAAAGGTGGTGTAATCTTTTTTCTCTTTTTTTGAGGTATAATTATTTACAATTAAATTTATCCTTTTTAATATATGGTTATTTGATTTTTGACAAACATCTAGTTGTGAGACGACCACTACAACCAAGTACATGGCATCCGAAGTGGCTAAACATTCTGCATTTTCATCAGAAATGTATGAGAATTCTAGCTGTTCTGCATCCTACTTGACACTTGATAATCTCAGGTTTTATTTTTTTAAACTTTTTAAAAAGAAAATAAACAGGTTTAATAGCACATACCTCTTGTATACATGGATGATAACCCTGAGAAATGAATAAATCTTTAGAGTAGCTCTGGAAGAGTTGCCTTAGACTTAAGGCTTCAAGACCATCTTTCTTAGAAATATTGCCATTTTTAGAAGTGGTGGCATCTTCTTAAAGTCTATTTGATATCTAATTAACGTTAATCTCTTTTCACCTAGTAATTCCATGTCAAGGAAATTATATATTACAAACAATATGTTACAAAACATAGCAAAATATACATGTTAAAGGTAATTGAGCAAAGCATTATACGTGTATAGTGTAATTATCATTATGTAATCACGAAAACTTGCAGAATGGCTAAGGAAATCAGGCCTTGCAGTCACTTAATTATTACTTAGTTAAGAATTGTTGTTAGGAAAATGCTTGTTTATGATGTTAAGTAGGAAAAAATAAGGATCAAACATTGTATATGCACTGAGATTTCAATTATGTAAAAAAAACAGACAGGATTGGATGCTGTTTACTAATACTCTCTTTTATACTGTAGTATATTGAGAAGGATTAGAAAATATTGGCCTCTAGAATAGTATAACCACTGGAATCAAGTATCCTAAGTTCCGATTTTTTTAAAAGAAATTTTATTTATTTGAAAGGCAGGGTTACATAGAGGCAGAGAGAGAGAGAGAGGTCTTCCATCCACTGGTTCACTCCTCAAATGGCTGCAGTGGCTGGAGCTGGGCCAATCCAAAGCCAGGAGCCTGGAGCTCTTCCAGATCTCCCACATGGGCCATCTTCTACTGCTTTCCCAGGCCATAGCAGAGAGCTGGATTGGAAGAGGAGCAGCCGGGACTCTAACCAGTGCCCATATGGGATGCCAGCACTGCATGTGGCGGCCTTACCTGCTATGCTACAGTGCTGGCCCTCTGAATTTTTTTTAATATATAGATTTGCATAACTCTGGTGAACTAAATATTAAGCTTTGAAATTTATTGATTTTTTTCATTTAAAAAATGGAATTAGCTCACATTTTTATGAAACTATTAGCCTATAGTGCCTAATTGGTAGATCAGTACAGACACTTTTGTTTTATAAATACACTTGTTGAATCACATGTAGTGATGGTTAAAGTAACAATAAACTGATTTTTCAGGTTTTCAAGCCAATTGTTGAAAAATTTGGTTTCACATTTAATTGTGACATTAAAATGAGGTAAGTTGTTTATTAGTCCTTTGGAAAATTAGACCTTAGAAAACTGTCATTCTGGAACAAACAAAAGAAATATTATATTTTATAGGAATACTGTACCTTGTTTTTGGAAAACAGTAGGCAGCAGGGGTATGAGGACTTGAAGGCAGCTACACATTATACTTGTTTGTTTCTTGAAAAAAAAAATATTTTCAAAGGAATTTCCACACTGAGGTGCCTTCACATCTGGCGTTACCCACGTCCTTGCCTAGAGTCCTTGTCCCCTGTATGCAGACAACAGAACTAGGTACTGCTGGGTCATAAAAGGGGCTCTCTTCCACAGTGCAGTCAGAATTATTTTCCAGAGAAATGTATGGGCATTCAAGTAATTTCTTTTTATTTATTTATTTATTTTATTTAGTAAATATAAATTTTCAAAGTACAGTTAATGGATTACAATGCCCCCTCCCCCATAATTTCCCTCCCACTCACACCCCTCCCATCTTTTTAAGGCTTCCTTCTGTCACACAATAATATGGTTCAGTTTCTTGGCATGGCATTTAAGTGCTTTGCAGTCCTGCCCCAGTTTACCTTTCTGGCTTCATCTCCTCCCTTTGAGCGTACCATATCTCCCAGCTGCATTATTTGCTAGTCCTTAAACATTCATTGTGCCTTTGCACTTTCATGTTTTCATGTTATCCTTCCCCTCCTCTCTTAAAAAGTGGAAATCCAAAGTGTTTTTTTTTTTAATGAAACTTACAATTTATTGTGTGAGCTGTCTGTGCCTCAATCGAATTCATCTTTACTCCTCTGTGTAGTCCTCCTTATGTCTCTACTCATATTCTAGGTGATTGTGTGGGGAACCATCTCCTTGTAGGATGCTGAACTCTTTAAGGGCAGGAGCACTGTCATTCTCAGCATCCACTGTAGGATAAATGACCTAAACAACTGAGTTAAATTTGTATTAGTGTTAAGCTACTTAAATGTTTTTATTATATATGTGTTAGAATACCTACTATATGCCAGATACGGTTTTAGGCCCTGGAAAATTGCAGGAACAAAATAGGTCCAATCAACAGGGAGCTTATATTCTAAAACAGCACATAAAATAGAACTTACTGATTTGGAGAAAATGTTCTGTATGCTGTCCAATATGTCACTATCCAAATGGGACTGTTGAGCACTTAGAATGTGACTAGGGGTCCAGTGAGCTGATTTTAACTTATTTAATAGTTGTATACAGCTTAGAACTACCATGTTAAACCACGTAGACCTAAAATATTTAGAACTCTTCCTGAATTACGTTTGGATAGCATTTACATGTTATTTAATTATAATACTAAACCTTATTTGTAATGCAATAATTTTATGTTAATGTTTGTCATACTTTTCATAGGGGCTATTACCCAAAAGGGGGTGGTGAAGTGATTGTCCGAATGTCACCAGTTAAGCAGTTGAATCCCATAAATTTAACTGACCGTGGCTCAGTGACTAAGATATATGGAAGAGCTTTTGTTGCTGGTGTTTTGCCATTTAAAGTAAGTTGTCTAGATGTTCTTAGAAGTATATGTATACACTGAAAATTATCATGTAATCTGAATTTTAAATTATTATAAGACTTTTAATATTTTCATTTAATTTTTCATAAAATTCAGCACTCTTGAAAATCAAGTTTTTAAATATTGTGTCAAAGTTCTAGTTTTGTGTGTCTCTGAAGGCCTGAAAACGGTTATCCAAATCATTCATTTATTTTATTCTGTTTTTCTGACTTGCTAAAATAGGTAGCAAAAGATATGGCGGCGGCAGCTGTGAGATGCATCAGAAAGGAGATCAGGGATCTGTATGTTAACATCCAGCCAGTTCAGGAACCTAAAGACCAAGCATTTGGCAATGGAAATGGAATAATGTGAGATAATGTACCTTTTCTTAAACATTAGTTAAGCACACTGAAATAATTGTCCTATTTAAATTAAATATTTGTAGTTTCTTTGCTCAAATGTATAGTTTTAAGGTGACATGTTTTAAGGGAATTCCTATCAAAAAGAACAATATAATGAATTATGATGATGATTCTGAATTTTTCTCAGGTTTGTTTGCCTCTTATTGCACTGATAGGATCCCTTTCACTTATATGGTGAGCTCCAGTGCTCAAGCTAATCAGAAATTAGACTCTGAAGCTGATCCTCTGATTGATATTTCCAGTTGCTTAAAATACCTCAAATGTGAAATCAATTCACAAGTAAATATTAAATATAGCAATGATATCCTTAAAAAAGGGAGCTAAGGGCCTGGGGTTGTGGTGCAGCAGGTTAAGCTGTCACCTCTGATGCCAGAAAGCCTGGCACATCTGAGTCCCAACTACTCAGCTTCCAATCCAGCTCCCTGCTAATGCGTCTCGAAAACCAACAGCAAATTGTCAAGTACTTGGGCACCTGCCACCTGTGTGGGAGACCTGGATGGAGTTCCTGGCTCCCGACTTTGGACTTGATCAACCCTAGCTGCTGCAGCCATTTGAGAAGTGAACCAGCGGGTAGAAGACCTCTCCCTGTCGCTCTGCCCTTGCAATAAACAAACATCTTTATCTGTCATCTGTTGGTTCACACCCCAGACACCCACAGTAGCTGGGACTGGGCCAGGCTGAAACCAGGAACCTGAAACTCCTCTTTTCCTCCCATGTGAGTATCAGGGACCCAAGTACTTGAACCACAATTTACTACCTCCCAGGATGTGAATTAACAGGAAGCTGGAATTGGAAGTGGAGCCAGGACTCAAACCCAGGTACTCTGGTATAGGATGTTGGTGTCCCAAGTGGTGTCTTAACCCCTGTACCAAACACCTGTCCCCTTTGTTAAATTTCAAACTCTTTGATTCATAATTTTGATTGAAGTTTTTAAAGTAAATGCTTGGCCGGCGCCGTGGCTCAATAGGCTAATCCTCCACCTTGCGGTACCGGCACATCAGGTTCTAGTCCCGGTCGGGGCGCTGGATTCTGTCCCGGTTACCCCTCTTCCAGGCCAGCTCTCTGCTGTGGCCCGGGAGTGCAGTGGAGGATGGCCCAATACTTGGGCCCTGCACCCCATGGGAGACCAGGAGAAGCACCTGGCTCCTGCCTTCGGATCAGTGCGGTGTGCCGGCTGCAGCGCGCCGGCCACGGCGGCCATTGGAGGGTGAACCAACGGCAAAAGGAAGACCTTTCTCTCTGTTTCTCTCTCTCTCACTGTCCACTCTGCCTGTCACAAAAAAAAAAAAAAAAAAGTAAATGCTTACTCTTTGCGATAATGCTGTCTAACAAAATCAAAGTCCCACATAAGAACCTTTTAATTTAATGTAATCATCAAATAGTTTATAGTACTCTGTGCCTGTGGCACAGTACCACTTAGCATGGATGATGTGATAACTTGGAAGAAGGGTATATGAGCAAATTTTCCTTATCTGTGGAACTTTCCTGGCCAAGCACTGAAAGATATTGATGGTCTGTTTAAGGCTGATGGAGAATATTAATCATTCTGCTTTCTGTATGAATAATTTCACTTTTGTAGTGTATTGCCAGATATAATTCTGCCTCTTTAACACTGTGACTCTGTATCATATTTTCACGTAATTTTAGGATATTTATAACATAGGTAGTAACTTTTTTTTTTTTACATCTGTATAGCATTATTGCTGAGACATCCACTGGCTGTTTGTTTGCTGGATCATCGCTTGGTAAACGAGGTATAGGTCCCATTGCTGCTATAAAATTCCTTTGTTATCTGTTGGGATTAGAATGTTATGTTATGACAGATGACACATTTAAAAGGATACAGTCAACTGACTTTTTAAAAAATATTTTTTTATTTATTTGAGAGGTAGAGTTACAGACAGAGAGAGGGAGAGACTGAAGTCTTCCATTCACTGGCCGGCGCCGCGGCTCACTAGGCTAATCCTCCGCCTTGCGGCGCTGGCACACCAGGTTCTAGTCCCGGTTGGAGTGCCGGATTCTGTCCCGGTTGCCCCTCTTCCAGGCCAGCTCTCTGCTGTGGCCAGGGAGTGCAGTGGAGGATGGCCCAGGTGCTTGGGCCCTGCACCCCATGGGAGACCAGGATAAATACCTGGCTCCTGCCATCAGATCAGCGCGGTGCGCCGGCCGCAACGCGCCAGCCATGGCAGCCATTGGAGGGTGAACCAACGGCAAGGAAGACCTTTCTCTCTGTGTCTCTCTCTCTCACTGTCCACTCTGCCTGTCAAAAAAAAAAAAAAAAAAAAAGTCTTCCATTCACTGATTCACTCCCCAAATGGCTACAACAGTCAGAGCTGGGCAAGTCTGAAGCCAGGAGCCAGGAGCTTTCTCTGGGTCTCTCACATGGGTGCAGGGGTCCAAGCACTTGGACCATCTTTTACTGCTTTCCCAGGCCATAGCAGAGAGCTGGATCAGAAGAGGAGCAGCTGGGACTTGAACCCGTGCCCATATGGAATGCTGGTGCCTCAGGCAGAGGCTTAGCCTACTACGCCACAGTGCTGGCCCCCCATACTACTGTTTTCATAGCTAAATAATTTGTCTGTTATGGTCAGACACACCAGACGTATTCAGACTTAAAGCATTGCTCCAAAATATTACTTAGCACCATGTGGGATTTTTTTTTTCTTTTTGGAGTAGTATGTACAGCATTTGCTTGTCATGTCTGTTTGATCTTTCTTTTAATACAGAATGCTCCCTTCACCTTTTTTTAAAAAATTTTTTTTATTTATTTGAAAAGCATGGTGACAAGAGAAAGACAAAGACAGAGAGAGAGATCTCCCATTTGCTAGTTCACTCCCCAGATGCCTGAAACAGCTGGGGTTAGGCCAGGCTGAAGCCAGAAGCCAGGAACTCCATCTGGGTCTTCTACATGGGTGGCAGGATCCTAAGTACTTGGGCCATCATCCACTGCCTCCCAGGCTCATTAGCAGGAAGCTGGATGGAAGCACAGAATAACCGAACTTGAACCAGGCACTCCCATATGGAATGTAGACAGCCTAAGCAGCAACTTAACCAGCAGTGTCATAGTGTCCTCTGTCCTTTTAACTTTTGTTTTCTTTTCATGATATTGACCTTTTGAAAAGTCCAGGCCTTTTTCTCACAGAATTTCCTACAATTTAGATATGTCTGATTATCTCATGATTTGATACATTATTACTTAACATTTTTAGTAGGACTGTCACATAGGTGTGATTTTTATGTACATTCCACTGAGTTGCATCAGGGAGAGCATATGATGTCAGTGCGTCCTCTGTTGCTGAGGCTGAGTGCAATCACTTGGTTGAGGAGATATCTCCCAGAACTGTGTGCTTTAAAGGTTCCTTCCCCTTTACATTAACAAGTAATTCTGCAACAGTACGTGAAGACCATCTGATTACGCTTTTCTCATAGAGCTTTTATCTAGGAGATTTAGTCTATTGATGACTCTCCCCTGCATACATTAGTACATGAGTTACTTCAAAATATTGAATGAATTTGGGAAAGGGGAATTTGTTTAAAATTTGACATATTAGGGAGAGGAGATATGCCACTGTTTGATAATATTTAAAGTTACTTTTACCAGCCAGGTAACTCCTAGATGAACTTCTAATTGTGTGGTGGCTGCTTGCTTTGTTTCTACTTTATTGACCTCACATAAATGAATTCTGCTTAAAATAGTGCTGCTCAAAGTGATTGGCAGACAGGTGGCGTATTAGCATCATCTAGGAGTTGTTTCTAAAATGGTCTCAATTTGAGTATCTTCTGGTTTTTTGAAAGGACAAAGTATAAAATGGTCAACAGATAGAACAGAGAAATCATTTGCTTTAGGACATCACAAACATGTCCTGAATTATCATATATATAGAAGAAGAGGAGCAAAGTAATCAATTTCCATACAAAGAAAACAGAGTGATTAACCAGAGGCATAATTTTCTTTTTTTTTTTTTTGACAGGCAGAGTGGACAGTGAGAGAGAGACACAGAGAGAAAGGTCTTCCTTTTGCCGTTGGTTCACCCTCCAATGGCCGCCGCGGCCGGCGCGCTGCGGCCGGTGCACCGTGCTGATCCGATGGCAGGAGCCAGGAGCCAGGTGCTTTTCCTGGTCTCCCATGGGGTGCAGGGCCCAAGCACCTGGGCCATCCTCCACTGCACTCCCTGGCCACAGCAGAGAGCTGGCCTGGAAGAGGGGCAACCGGGACAGAATCCGGCGCCTCGACCGGGACTAGAACCCGGTGTGCCGGCGCCGCTAGGCGGAGGATTAGCCTAGTGAGCCGTGGCGCCGGCCATAATTCATCTTAACAGACTGTCTGGCTCCCATAGTAAAGAACATAACTATCTAAAAGAGTAGTCAAAAGATACTATATATTCAACAACAAAAAATAAAATATATTCTTTCCATAATTCAAAATTGAGACTGTTTTTGGAAACATCCAAAATATCAGAAGAAAAGCATTCGGATCTCAGAAGCTGTTAGGACATTGCTTCTTTATTTAAGTATAATACTAGTGAGCAAAATTCCCATGTTTAAAAAAACTTTATAAAATTTGCCAGTTCAATTACCATTATTACCCCCAGTAGTGGCCAATACTAATGAAGGTCCATTCATACCATTGTTCACTATAAGTTTGACTGGGCACAAAGAATTGTGAATGACTCTGAGAAATACTTTGCTGCTGGACAGAAAACTTTACTGTGCCCGCTGCTTTCTAGTACTACAAAGCCAGGTGTTCTTTTTTCTCCTTAACATCCTCCATGCCAATTTTAGCCATTTTTCAAGGGATCTGCTTAAATCCTTCCTGTGCCATAAAACCTTTTCAAATAATTCTAGAACCTGTAATCTTTTCCTTTTCTGGACTCCTGTCAGATTTATCGATTATACCATAGAACATAGCATATTACTTCTCTAATACATGAGTATTTTTTTATGTTTTCTTAGCAAAAGAACTAGTTCTTATCATTCAGCATGGTGTACACATGGTGGTTGGTCGGTACTATTATGTTCTGGTCTTGATCTTAGCTACTTCAGAAATATTACGTTTAATTTTTAAAATAACTTTGAAGCATAATTATTTTCTTCACCATCTCTATATGGAAGGTCAAATGGCAGAGGCTAAGTAGCTTACCCAAGAAGTCACAGTTCATTTTACATGTTCCAGACTGTTCCATTCAGTCATGTAAATACTGGGCCAGTTGACGATTTAAAGAAAGAGTTTATTATATTATTATAATAACTTGTGTCAGGAAAAACAGAGTTAAAATTCCAAAGATTCCACTGTTTGGGGAAGTTTTTTTTAAGGTTTATTTAATCAGATAAATTTGTGAATATAAAATAGAAAGCAAAATTAGTCACATTCTCATTTTTTAAAAATTTTCATTTTCATTTGTATTCAAGGATTTCTTTTAAAGTAAATAACTTATAACTGAAAGCAAAATATAGATAAATAGGATTAAGTACCAGTGTTATATAATAAAGTAGAATATAAGAATTTATTGTATATTTTATAAAAACTAAAAGAGGAATTTGAAGGTTCCCAACATAAAGAAATGATAATTTAAGAAGATGGAAATTCCAGTTACTCTGATTTGATCATTACACCTTTTATACATGTATTGAATTACTATGCTGTATCTCAAAAATATGTACAACTAAAAAAAGATAAAATAAGTATCTTAGAAGAGTTTGGCATTCCTCTATTTCTGATAGACTTATTTTATATGTAATGTCAACCCAAAGATTTGGGATATGTATGCAGAGGCAAGGATTAGGGCAACAGGGTAAATATTCTGACTTGAAATAAGATAATACCTGTTCAGATAGTAAAGTTAATGTAGTTTTTAAATATTTGATCTGAAGATGTTATCTGCTTTTATTTAGATAAAAATTCTGTGATTTTTTAAAAAATTCTTTAATTTTGATTTAATTGCTTGCAGACTAATTGTATTGAGGCATAGCATTATAGGGTCTTAACTTAGTTATAAATTGGCTAAATTTGTAGTTTCAAGACATCCTGTTTTTTCCTCCACTAGTGCATTTAAAGGTACAAAGTATTTGAATATGCTAAGTGCTAAGAAGATTAAATAACTAAAATGTTGTCCTGAAAGATGCATTAATGTGATTTTTTTTACACCGTGCCTGCCTTAGGTGTAACTGCAGACAAAGTTGGAATTGATGCTGCTGAAATGCTATTAGCAAATCTTCGACATGGTGGAGCTGTGGATGAATATCTGCAAGACCAGGTATGTCGTGTTTTTAATAAAAACCTTCTAGCCTATCAGATTTGAATATTTGCTTACTAGATTAAATATAAACTTTTGTTACTGATTTTTAGACACTGATTGGTAAGTCCTACTTTACATTTTTTTTTAAAAATGTTCTTTTGGAATTTATAATCCTCAAATTTCAGACCTCATTTTATTTGACCTATATCTTAATTTGACACAATTGGGTCTTCTTTTTTTTTAAAGATTTTATTTATTTATCTGAAAGGCAAAGTTACAGAGAGGCAGAGAGAGAGAGAGAGAGAGAGATATCTTCCATCTGCTGGTTCACTCCCCAAATGGCCGTTGTTGCATCAGCTGGAGCTGGGCTGATCTGAAGCCAGGAGCTTGGAGCTTCTTCCAGGTCTCCCACATGGGTGCAGAGGCCCAAGAACTTGGGTCATCTTCTGCTGCTTTCCCAGGCCATAGTGGAGAGCTGGATTGGAAGTGGAGCAGCCAGGACTCCAACCAGTGCCCATATGGGATGCTGGCACTGCAAATGGTGGCCTCACCTGCACAGCACCACTCCTCTCTCACCCCATTTTGTTTTTCTTTTAGATTTATTTATTGAAAGAGTTAGAGAGGGATCGCTCTTTCATCCTCTGGTTCACTCCCCAGATGACCACAGTGGCCAGCTGAAGCTGGGCAAGGCCAAAGCCAGGAGCCAGGAAATCCATCCAGGTCTCCCACTGGGGTGACAGGGGCCCAAGCACCCGGGCCATATTCTCCTTCCTAGGCTCATTAGCAGGTAGCTGGATCAAAAATGGAGCAGCCAGGACTTAAACCAGTGCTCATGTGGGATGCTGGTATCACAGGCAGCAGCTTAACCTACTGTGCCACATTCTCAACCTCAACTGCTTCTTTCTTGAAGTGTTTTTTTCACTCAGTTTCTGAAATAGGGTCATCTTCCTGTCCCACTGGCCATATCTTCTAGTCTCTTTTGCTAGTTTATTGTTTTCTCTTCAACTTCTAATTTTTGAAGAGTCTTTAAGCTCATGCCTTTGTATCTATATTCACTTCCTCCGTTATTTTTTTCAGTCCCCTTGCTCAAGTCATGTCTGTATGCTTATGACTCCTAGACTTATGATACTAGCCCAGACCTCCCTCCTGAAGTTCTTGCTCATTGTATCATCTTTGTCTGGCATCGTCTCCAGTTGGCTGTTTCATTGACCTCTCAAACTAAACACAATCACTCACATTGAGAAATGCCATTGAATGTTTTCAAAGATCTAACTTTTTATGGCCCACTATTTTTATAGATTGTCCTTTCTACCATGCTTTTCTTTCCTTAATCCCAAATCAGCAGTTTTCACTTAGCACTGGCATCCCAAATGGACACTGGTTGGTGTCCTGGCTGCTCTACTTTGGATCTAGCTCCCTGCTAACGCACCTGGGAAAGCAGCAGAAAGTGCTGCAAATGCTTGGCCCCTGCCACCTACCTGGGAGACCCAGAAGAAACTCCAAGCTTCTGCTTCAGCCTGGCCCAGTCCTGGCTGTTGCAGTCATTTGAGAAATGAAGTAGCAGATGGAAGATCTCTCTCTTTTTCTGACTCTGCCTCTCCCTCTCTGTAACTCCGACTTTCAAATAAATAAATAAACCTTTTTTAAAAAAAAAACAAAAAACAAAAAAACAGTAAATGAAACTTTTTCATGCCAACTCAGTTGATCTGATTAAATGTTAGTTTTCAACTCCATATTTTATTCTTTTTTTTTTTTTTTGACAGGCAGAGTTAGACAGTGAGAGAGAGAGAGAGACAGAGAGAAAGGTCTTCCTTCCATTGGTTCACCCTGCAAATGGCTGCTATGGCCGGTGCACTGTGCCGATCTGAAGCCAGGAGCCAGGTGTTTCCTCCTGTTCTCCCATGCAGGTGCAGGGCCCAAGCACTTGGGCCATCCTCCACTGCCTTCCCGGGCCACAGCAGAGAGCTGGAATGGAAGAGGTGCAACCAGGACAGAACCGGCGCCCCAACCGGGACTAGAACCCGGGGTGCTGTGTTGGCTGGCGCTGCAGGCGGAGGATTAGCCTAGTGAGCCGCAGCGCTGGCCATATTTTATTTTTAAACATTTATTTAAAAAATTCTATGTTGAAAACTACTGCTAAGCATTTGTGTACCACACTACAGATGTTTTTTATCATTTTCTGAGGACTTCGGGAGACCCAAAGAAATAGAAATTCTTTTTTAGCTATTTGATTTCCAGTGTTTTCATTATGGATAATAGTGGAATTGTAACTCCAAATATTAGCAAATGTGTGAGATTTTTCTTTCCTGTTCTTTTTTTAATAGCTGATTGTTTTCATGGCATTAGCCAATGGTGTTTCTAGAATAAAAACAGGACCAGTAACACTCCATACACAAACAGCGATACATTTTGCTGAACAACTAGCAAAGGTGAGTATTCCATCAGAAAAATAATTCTTATTGTAGCCAGTTTGGGTTAAATTTTAATAAACAGAAAATTCAATAATAATTAGAATTGCTACTACATGTAGAATACTTCCTGTGTCAAAGACACTGAGCTAATTCTTAAGTTTATCTGAATCTCCCTACTCTGCATAACCATTGAGGACAGCTCTTTATTATTTCTGTTTCACATATGAATAAAGGAAGATAGATTAAGTTGTTAAGGCCACATTGTTTCTTTTTAAATATTCTTATTTATTTTATTTATTAGAAACACAGAGAGGCAGAGATCTCAAATTTACTGGCTTGCTCCCTCAGCTACTGGGCCCGGCCAAAGCCAAAAGTCCAAAACTCAGTTCTGGGTCTCCCACATGGGTGGCAGGGACCCAGGTACACGAACCATTACCTGCTGTCTGCCCAGGTGTGCATTAGCCAGAAGCTAGAATTGGGAACAGAACCGGGACTCGACCTAGGCACTCTGATATGGGACTTGGGTGTACCAAACAGCATCTAACTACTGTATTACATGTCTCCCCTTGAACACGTAGTTTCTTAGGGGCAGAGTTAGCCTTTGAGCAAACCCAGGAAATCAAACTTAAGAGCCCATGCTCTCATCACTGAATGGTACTGCGTTTTAGAGTAAGTAAAGGTGTTTTAATTGGAGCCATGAAATAAAGTCACAAGGGACTTCTTATTGGTTATAAATGTAAATGCTTATATAAATTTTTAAAGATTTTGTTTTCATCTCATTCTGTTAGAATAGAATTTTTGCTGAAATTCTAACATTCACTAATCCTTTTAAATTTGAAGAATAGATTTATAGTTTTTAGTAAAAAAAGATTATATTTTTGTATAAACTTATATCCATATCTTTACTGCAGGATTCTTAATTTTTTGGAAGTTTTTTTTTATTTAAAAGGTAAAATGACAGAGAAAGAGGGAGAGAGAGAGAGAAAAAAAAAAGAGAGAGACCTTATATTCTCTTAAGGCTTTCTCTAACTCCACATTTTTATATAACTAGATTTAAATAAAATCTAGAAATGATTTCCATAACAGTTGCTTATTTTTCTTATTTTCATAAAACTTATAATTTGAAATATGTTCATAACTACATTAATACTTTGGGTATCTAGGTCAGGATTCAATGTTTATTCATTAAATGATAATTTCAAATGTTCATTGTGTGTCAGTATACTGCCACAGAACACTGAAACTGAAAAGAATTTGTGAACCTTACTGTTCAGTGACGCCCCAAGATAATGGTTTTCAAATTGTATTTCAAAGGATCCTCAGATTTTAGGCATACTTGAAACCATTTTTCCATAGATTCAGCCAAACTACTCATCTATTTCAAGTTCAGTTGATCCACTTTTGCTTTATAGTTATTCTCCAAAGTATAGTGATAGAGGTCTAATATTTTAAAGCTTTTGTTAACAAATGAAAAATATAATGTTAAGCCCAATAAGGATGAAGGAGGCTATCCATCACCACCACCAGCCTTCCTCCCAACCCATCTTCTCTGAACTAGATGTTTTTGAATGATCTATTTTGGGATTTAAATTGTCAAGAACATTTTAGGGAAATTAAAGAGTAATTTGATACTTGACTAGATAAAAGTATCAATGTTTCAGTTCCATATTTTAGAAAAATTTTAGGGAGCAGGGAGAGGAGGTGCATTATAATCAAAACAGATTTCAAAATAGGTATTTGCCTAGGCTTTATCCTAGGAGTTCTGATTCAGCTACTATAGAGTGGGACCCAAGCATATATATTCTTTGTTTTAAAAAAATTTATTTGAGAGGTAGAGTTACAGACAGAGAGAAGGACAGACAAAGAGAAAGGTCTTCCACATACTGGTTCACTCCCCAAATGGCTCCAATAGCCAAAGCTGAGCAGATCTGAAGCCAGGAGCAAGGAGCTTTTTCTGGGTCTCCTATGCAGGTGCAGGGGCCCAAGCACTTGAGCCATCTTCCACTGCTTTCCCAGGCCATAAGCAGAGAGCTGGATCAGAAGAGGAGCAGCCAGGACATGAATCCGTTCTCATATGGGAAGCCAGCGGTGCCGGCAGAGGCTTAGCCTACTATACCACAGTGCTGGCCCCACCAAGCATATATATTCTGGCAAAACTCCATTAGTGTATATACCTTTGAACAAGAACCATAGTTCTAGGATGAATTATGTTCAATCTCTGTGCTGTTGGATTTTTCATGAATCATTTAAAAACCTTCATGTCTCTGGAACTTCTTAAAATGAGTTTGGCATTAACTCCCTCCCTGCTTAAGCTGGAGTTATGGGCTCTTTATCCTTCTGTCTGTCACTTATGTACTAAATATTCTGCTTTCAGGCTAAATTCACTGTGAAGAAGTCAGAAGATGAAGATGATGCCTCTAAAGACACTTACATTATTGAATGCCAAGGAATTGGGATGACAAATCCAAATCTATAGGATATTTACCTCATAATAACACCTTGGTGAATTACACTAAACCATTTAAAAAATATGTTTACTACAAAACAGTAAATAAGAAGTAAATTATTAAAGGACGACTTAAGTTAGAAGGTGAAGTACAGTGTTCAACATTTGCTGAGAATACTTCATCAAATTAACCTTATTTTGAATAAAAGAGTTGGTGGCATATGTATGATAGCTGATTTCAATAAAGTATTGAAATAAAATATTATTTATACCAGAAGTAAAATTTCTTTTAAGATTTATTTATTTGAAAATCAGAGTTACAGAGAGAGGGAGAGATCTTCCATCTGCTGGTTCACTCCCTAATAGCCATAATGGCTGGGGCTGGGCCAAGCAGAAGCCAGGAGCCAGGAGCTTCATCCAGGTCTTCCACGTGGGTGCAGAGACCGAAGCACTGAGCCGTCTTCTGCCACTTTCCCAGGTGCATTAGCAGGGAGCTGAATTGGAAGTGGGGGAGCTGGGTCTCGAACTAGTGCCCAAATGGGATGCCAGCATCACAGGTGGCGGCTTTACCTACTACACCATAACACTGGTCCCCCAATTTTTTTTATGTAATAAAGTCAGGATACAGATTTGATATGTAATTTGTATACAGTTGTCATCCCCTTACCTAATGTTTTCCCTGTTGTGGTTTTAATTACTCAAGGTAAACTGTGGTGCAAAAATATTAAATGGAAAATTCAAGGCATAAATAATTCATCAGTTTAAATTGTAAGCGATTCTGTCATGTGATGAAGTCCGCTCCACCTTGCCTAGGGTAGGAATCATTCCTTTTTCCATTGCATCCACATTGTATATATCATCACCCATCAGCCAATAGCTATCTTTTTAGGTTATCAGATTGACTGTCAGTGTTGCAGTGCTTGTGTCCAGCTAATCTTGTTTTATTTAATAGTAATCCTAAAGCACCTGAGTAGTAATACTGGCAATTCAGATAAGCCACAGAGGAGATGTAAATGATTCCTTTCACTATCCTCTCATGTCATTACAAGAAGAGTGAGTATAGTATAATAGGAAATTTTGAGAGAGACCATATTCACATTAACTGTTCTAGAGTATACATTCATATGTTGCTTAACTGGGATATGGTCTGAGAAATGCAGTTAGATTATTTTCTCATTGTGCAGACAACAGTTTACTTACACAAAGTAGATGGTATATGTTGATCACTGAACATGGCCTCTTTTTTTTTTTAAAGATTTATTTATTTATTTGAAAGGCAGAGTTACAGAGGCAGAGAAAGTGCTTCTATCTGCTGATTCACTCCCCAATTGGCTGCAACAGCTGGAGCTGCGCCAATCTGAAGCCTGGAGCCAGGAGCCTCTTTTAGGTCTCCCACAAGGGTGCAGGGGCCCAAGGACTTTGGGCCATCTTCCACTGCTTTCCCAGGCCATCGCATAGAGCTGGATTGGAAATGGAGCATCCAGGACTCGAACCAGCACCCATATGGAATGCCAGCGCTTCAGGCAACAGCTTTTACCTACTACGCCACAGCACCGGGACATGGCCTCTTGATATGATCTATTATAAGATGTATGGGGCTGCTACCAGGGGAAAATGGTAGACTTTTTTTTTTTTTTAATAAGTAGAAATATACTCTAAAATGAAAAGTATAGCATAATAAATGCATAAGCCAGTAACAGTCATTTGTTATCCAGTATTATGTACTATATACACAAATTGATATGAGCTATACTTTTATATGACTGACAGTGTAGTAGGTTTGTGTTTACCAACATCACCACAAAAATGAGAGTAACATTATTAGGAATTTTGATAGGAATTTGATTGATAGGAATTTTTTACCTCTACCATAATCTTACAGGACCACTGTTGTATATGTTGTCTGTTGTTGACTAAAATGTTATTTAGCATGTGGCTATTGTTACAGTGTTCTATTTTTTATTACTAATTGTTGCTAATCTTACTCTTCCTAACTTATAAATTAAGCTTTATTTATGTATAGTAAATAACACTTTATATATGGAGTTTGGTACTATCCAAAGTTTCATGCATTCACTTAGGCTCTTTTAAAAATTTTTCATTTTATTCAAAGTACACACAGATCCATCTGCTGACTTACTCCTCAAATGTTTATCAACAGCCAGGTTGAGGGGCTGGTGTTGTGGCGTAGGAGGTTGGATTGCAGGCATCCCAAATTGGCACTAGTTTGAGTTCCGGCTGCTCCACTTCTGATCCAGTGACCTGCTGGTGTGTCTAGGAAGGCAGTGGAAGATGGCCCAGTTGCATGGGTCCCTGCACCCACGTGGGAAACCCGAAGGAAGCTCCCCCCACTATATGTAGTTTTAATCTCTGCTGAAATCTAATGTAATGTATAATGAGAACACCTTAGGCAAGTGTACTTGTATTGTCAATGATAAAAATCAGCATTGTCTCATTCTAATTATATTGTACCTTCCACCTATTGAGTATTGGTAAATATTTCATTTCAGCCTGTTAAATATATTTTGAAAGCTGAACAATTAGGGCTGCAAAATTTTAACTCTAATAGATTTGGCCAAATTCAGCCTCAGGTAAATTTTTGCTTGGCTTATACAATCAAAAAAATAATTGAGTGCTTTTAGAATGGAATGTGCTTTTACATTTAGATTACTTCATTGTTACTTGAGGTTGTTACTCAAGTGAAACCAGTCTGGTGTGTCTGCTTAATATGCTGTATGATACTCATAGAGAGGAATTCATTAAAACTTGGGATCATCTTGGGCCTTATCTAATGATGATTAAAACTTAGTCCAATATGTATATCCAGAGGATGGTAGTATGTACATTCATAAAATCCTGAATTGGTCATTAGAAATAGCATGGTGAAAAAGAAATTACTCTGTATACATAATCATTACTCTCATCCTTGTCTGATTTCCATGGCCTTGGAAATCTAGGTTTAATTTGCCTTTTTTTTTTTTAAAGATTTACTTATTTATTTATTTGAAAGAGTTACAAGAGAGAGGGATAGACAGAGATGTTCCATCTGCTGATTCACTCTCCAGATGGCTGCGATGGCCGGGTCTGGACCAGGCTGAAGCCAGGAACCAGAACTTCATCTGGGTCTCCATGTGAGTGGCAGGGACCCAAGTACTGGGACCATCTTCTGCTACTTACCCTAGGCCCTGAGCAGGGAGCAGCCAGGACACAAACCAGCACCCATAGGGGATGCCGATATTGCAAGAGGCAGCTTTACCCACTACTCCACAATGCCAGCTCCTCAGTGTACTATAAATATGACGATGGTATTATTGTTTGTTGCTGACATTTTCACAAAGGAGGTAAGTTGTTAGTTTTTAATTTCTATAACAGAAGAGATAATATCTTTTTAATTTATTTTACTTCTTTTAAATTTTATTTTAAAGGCAGAGACAGGCAGACAGCTTCCATTTCATGGTTCACTCCCCCAAATTTCTGTACAGCCATGGCTGGACCAGGCTGAAGCCGGGAGCCTAGAACTTAATCTCCTTCTCCTCTGTGGCCAAGTACTTCAGCCATCATCACCTGCTGCCTCCCAGGGTGTGTGTTAGCAGGAAGCTGGGACTTGTGCACAGGTACTCTGTTAGGGGTGTGGGTGTCCCAGTGTCTTCACCACCACTCACCAAAAGCTATTTTTAGTGTAAAACTATACTTTTCCTGTAGTTGTTGAAGGGGTTCTGATAAACTGAGCTCTTCTGACAGATGTGATCCTTGCTACTACTGATAGAGCTTGCCAGCAGTGTTAAAGAATACCTTGGGGGTGGACGTTGAGCTTAGCAATTAAGCCACCTGTGTCCCATATCAAGTGTGCCTGGGTTCAATGCCTGGTTCTGGCTCCTGATTCTGGCTTCCTGCAAAGGCAGACCCTAGGAGGCAGAGATGACGGCTCAGGTAATTGGGTTTCTGCCACCCATGTGGGAATCCCAGATCAAGTTCCCAGTTCACACCTTCAGCTTGGCCCACTGTTGAGGTATATACTGACCGGTTTGCCCACCATCTTATCTGATCCCCATATGTCTATTATATCACTAACTCTGTCTGTCTCCTGAGACCCCAAACCTTTCAAAAACTTCTGGATTTTTTTTTTTAAGATTTTGAGAGGTAGAGTTACAGAGAGAAAGGTCTTCCATCACTGATTTCATTCCCCAATGGCCACAACAGCTGGAGCTGGGTAGATCTGAAGCCAGGAGCCAGTAGCTTCTTCTGGGTCTCTCACATGGGTGCAGGGGCCCCAAGCACTTGGGCCATCTTCTACTGCTTTCCCAGGCCATAACAGAGAGCTGGATTGGAAGAGGAGCAGCTGGGACATGAATCGGCACCCATATGGGATGCCAGGGCTGCAGGCAGAGGCTTAGCCTACCATGCCACAGTGCCAGCCCCCTGGATTTCCTTTCTAGCCTGGTAGAACCCCTTGTCTGGGGTCCTTTCTACAATAAAAGTATTTTCTGCCTTAACTGGTCATCTCTGTGCCTTCTTTGAACCCTAAAGTCCTAATATTTCTAAACTGTACTGGTTAGTTTTCCTAACAAATGACTGCTTGGAGGCTAATCTGATTTTTATTTTATAGTTTTATTTATTTATTTTTATTTGAGAGAGAGAGAGAGAGAGAGAGAGAGAGAGATCTTCCATCTGCTGATTCACTCTCCAAATACCCACAACAGCCAGGGCTGTGCCAAACTGAAGCTGAGAGTCTGAAACTCCATCCAGGTCTCCCACATGAGTGTCAAGGACCCAAGTATTTGAATCATCATTGTTTATTCCTGTGATGCATTAGCAGGAAGCTGAAATCAGAAATGAAGCAGCTGGAGCTAGAACCAGGCACTCCAATATTGGATATGAATATCCCAAGCGGGGACTAAACCCCTTGCACCACAACACTGGCCTCAGTTTTGTTATTTTTAAAACACTCAGGCACAGGCTATTGCATTCTCACCCAATGGTATTTCTCTATAATTTCAGTGATTCTCAAACTTCAATGTAATAATCTTTTCTGGGGAGATATAAAATTACAAAATCCCAGTCCAGTCTTCTCACCAGGAAAGTCTGAGGAGTAATTCTGTGTAGTGCCTAGGAATCTGTATTTTTAAAAAAGATTTATTTATTTGAAAGGCAGAGTTGCTGAAAGGCAGAAGTAGAGATAGAGGTCTTCCATCTTCCCCAGATGGCCACAATGGCCAGAGCTGCACCGATCTGAAGCCAGGAGCCAGGAGCTTCTGGGTCTCCCATGCAGGTGGAGGAACCCAA